GGCTGTAGGGGCTGTAGCAGCCTGCAGAGGGTTGGCTTCCAAAGGAGGCTGGGAACTGAGAGACCCGCGTCTCAAGGGGCTCAGAGACTGATGGGGCACACGGGGTGGGGCGCTCTGGGACATACATCCAGACCCCTTCAGCTTCCACTTCCACAGGTGTGCCCCAGAGAGCCTGCGCCAAGGAGCCTTCTCCTCAGCCTCCGATGTATGGATGTTTGGGGTGACGCTGTGGGAGATGTTCTCTGGGGGTGAGGAGCCCTGGGCCGGGGTCCCGCCATACCTCATCCTGCAGCTACTGGAGAAGGATCGATCCCGGCTACCGAAGCCTTCACTCTGCTCCAGAGCCCTCTACTCTATCGCCTTGCGCTGTTGGGCTCCCCATCCTGAGGACAGACCTAGCTTTTCCTACTTGGAGGAGCTGCTCCAAGAGGTAGGGATCCCCAGCTCCTCCCCAGACACATATAGGATTTCTTCCCCCCTCCCCATCTTCACTTCCCCCCAGGGTTCCCTGTATAAGATTAAGATATCCAGATACCTGTGCTGGGCTCTGGGACCCAGCAGTGAACAAAACAGATTCAGTCCCTTCAGAAGCTCAGATCCCTGGGAAGGCAGCTAGGGGCTACACTTAGGCAGGCTGAAGGGCTGGGTGTGTGTCTGGGCCAGAAAGGGGCACAGAGGAGAAAGCAGTAGGTCCCCGTGGGTGTGTAACAGAGAGAAGTTTGTGTGGGAAGGGAAATGGAAGTAATGAGGCTGCACAGGTAAGCAGGGCTGCATCATGGAGGGTTTCTAGGGCATGTCAGGAACCACAGCTCCCACACAGAGCACCTGCCCTGTGTGAGGCTCTGTATTAAGGGCTTTGTAGACATCCTACGTCTATCTGTTCATTTAGTCCTCTCAATAACCCCATAAGGTAATTACTTTTTTCCCCCATCTAACAGATGGAACAGTAGTGACTTTCCTAAAAATCACAGAGTAAGTGGAGGAAATGAGATTAGCACCAGTTAATATGACTTCAAGAGCTGTTCCCTAAATGGCTGTACTAGTAAAGTTTAGTCTTCACTTCAGGGGCACTTGAGTGTTGTAGAAAGATGTTGAGCAGGGGATTAAAAGTGGACATTACATGTTATTTTACTGTAGCCTGGTCCAAGAATAGTTTTGAGAGATCCTACTGACACTGATTATAAAGCAAAAGCAAGAACGAGAGGTCTAGGGCCAGGGATGTAGCTCAGTCATGCTTTGCCTGCCTGGGAAGCATAAGGTCCTGAGTTTGATCCTGGATAGCATGGGGAAAATAAAATAAAAAGAAAAGGTCTGGGTGAGGGTTAAGGAAATGGTACTGGAGAGGCATGGGAATTTCCAGAGGTGCTTGGGAGGCAAACTTTAGAGGCCAGGATGCAGAGTAAAAGCTGTAAACAGGATAGCTCTCCCTTTGGTCCCCATAGGTAAAGGGCCCTCCTTTGTTATTCCCCAAATCTTGGGCTATGTTCAGCTTGGCATGGGATCTAGGTAGGCCTCTCCCAGTAGATTACAACTGTGAGACAAGGACAGTCCCATTGGGGCCCAGCACAGAGAACATACCTACCATGGGTTTACTGGTATGTATACAAAAGGAGGTCTCCTTGCTGGGCGTGGTAGTGCATGCCTATAATCCCAGTACTCAGGAGGCTGAGGCAGGAGGATCGCTGTGAGTTCGAGACCTCGAGACCAGCCTCAGCTACATAGTGAGTTCCAGGTCAGTCTCAACTACATAGTGAGACCCTGTCTCAAAAAACAAAACAAAACAAAAAGGCAGTCTCCTTTCTTCCCTGCTCCCATACTACCCTTCTAACTTGGGCTTTTTGAAAGCCCAGCCTTTCCTCCTGTCTCCACAGGCCTGGCCTTCTCAGGGACGTTGTGTGAGGGATGTCACAGAACCAGGAGCTTTGCAGATGGAGCCTGGTGACTCTGTCACCATCATTGAGGGAAGGTAACAGTCTCATGCCCCCCACCAAATCCACAGGGGAGGCCACTCTCCCAATCTTTGATTCCCAAACTCCTCTCCTCCCCAACTCCTTGAACTCCAGTCTTCTGTGTCTTCTCCCCTCTGAGTCCTGAGCTCCAGTGCAGTCCTGGCATCCCTTCTAGAGCCCTGACTGTCCATAGAGCCCTTTTGTGTTGGGAAAAAAAAACCACTTCCCTTCCTCCAGGCAGAAGCAACCACAAGGCACATAGCATGCTAAGCTGAATGTGGCCTGAACCCACCTTCTATTCTCCCTTGTGCTCTTGCCCTCTTCACTAGTTCTCTTCCCACAGTCCTGACTCCACAACCTGGAAGGGACAGAATGGCCGCACCTTCAAAGTGGGCAGCTTCCCAGCCTCAGCAGTGACGCTTGCAGACTTGGGAGGCTCCTCAGCCACCCGTCCAGCCCATAGAAGCTCCCCTGCTCGGGGAGAGCGATGCCGGGGGAACATAGATGGGTGAGGAATTGAAAGGGTTAAGGACAGAGCTATGGTGGGGGGACTGTCCAAGTCCATCAACTTCTCTTGAAGAGAAGCTTAGGATAGGATGGGGCAAACCTGGAGGGGAAACTGGACTTGCCTCTCAGCTGTAGCTTCTACCCTGGGACACAGCATGCCTGGAGGTCCAGTTTCTTTGGGATGGAACTATGATATGTGTTTGAGGGGTGGAGGATGAACTGAATCATTCTCTTGACAGAGACAGAGAGAAGGAAAAGCCTTGGGATCTACCTCTAGCACAGGGCCAGAGAAGGAAGGTGCCCCTGCAGAGGATGAAAGGTTGGTACAGTAAGACTCCAGTGTCACAGCTCAATAACAACCCTCCAATTATGCCCATTTTGAATCCATAGCTCTGCATATATGATTTCCTTCCTCCAGCTCCTGCCTGTAGGTACCCAAGCTATACATTAAGATCTCAAGAGATTCAAAGCTCCCTGCTTACCCCAGTGGACAGCATGTTCTCATTCCCACTCTGGCCTGAGTTTGGGCCATCAGATGTTTATGTCTCTCTCTTTCTTTCTTTCTTTTTCTTTCTTTTCCTCTTCCTCCTCCTCTTCTTTTTTTTCACTGCTGTGGATCGAAATCAGGGTCCTCTACCACTGAGCTGCATTCCCAGTTTGTTATTTTTGAGGTAGAATCTCAGTAAGTTGCCTTGAACTTGCAATCCTTCTGCCTCAGTTTCCTGAGTAGTTGGGATTACAGGTTTGCACCATTACTACACATGGCAAGCTTCTAAGTCTTTTTTTTTTCCCCCTTTTATCTCATTTTCTTTCTTGCTTGCTACCTAAGTCTTGATGGCCATTTCTATATCTGTCTTATTGTCCCACTTAACACAAGGGCCACCCCAAGGACAGGGTCAGCTAGCTCACCTGGAAATTCTTGTAAAACCATCTAGCTCAGCACAGAATAGGACAGAAAGCAGGAAAAAATGGGACCTAGCACCAGGGCCTCCTCTCATGTTGTTTCTTTCTCAATTCTACAGGCATTTCCAAGAGTCTAGAGTCAGTTCTGTCCCTGGGCCCTCGCCCCACTGGGGGTGGTTCAAGCCCCCCTGAACTTCGACATGCCAGAGCTGTGCCCTCAGGACTCCAAGGCCTGCCTCCACGCCCACCTGTTACCTCTACTTCTTCTCAGCCCAGCCAGCCCCCCAGAGACAGGCCTCCCAGACCCAAAAAAGAACCTCTACTTAATCACCACATCAACACACCTGGAGCCAGGAAAGCCACTGTCCCCTCTGGCGGCCTCTTCCCTGACCCTGAGTGGCAGAGGAGGATTATGGAGGTGAGTGAGGCCTCACTGCGATGGGCAGGTGTCCAGAAAGGCCTAGAGATGGGGCAAGGGCCTGAGTGAGGCTTTGTTCACCGAAGGTGGAGCTAAATGTGCATGGAGTTACCCACCAGGAGTGTCAGGCAGCACTAAGAACCACAGGGGGAGATGTGGTTTCTGCCATCCAGAACCTCAAGGTAAAGCCAGACCCTTTTCCCAGACTCCTTCTTCTTCTGTTCCTGTCACTTGGGACAGAAGTCAACTGCCCTCCCCCTTACTCTCCTAGGTAGAACAGCTCTTCCATCTAAGTAGCTGGTCCAGAGCTGACTGCCGGCGCATTCTAGAGCGTTATCAGTGGGATCTCTCAGCTGCCAGCCGCTATGTCCTGGCCCGGTCCTGAGCTCTACTTCCTTGGACACAGACACCAGCACAGACCACCTGAATCTCTCGGAGCCTAGCCATGTGGGAGCAAGCAGAACCAGAATAAACCCTCGACAGGGTTAAGATCAGGTTTTCCCAACTCAGAAGATGCCACTTGCTACTGGCAGATACAGGAAGTACCAGGGAAGCCCAGAGTTGGACACTGATGAGATCTCCCCCTACCCTGTCCCTTGCCTCGAAGGGCCTAAGAATTCTTGGCTGGGACAAGAAGGACCTAATCTTCATCACATTATCACATAAGAGGAAGACCTGAAGGAAAAGAGCTGCAATATAGCATATCCAGAGGAAGCGTCTACTCACTACAGTCACTGATCAAGTGGTTATACTAGACAACGGGAACAGCCATCCTGGATTGCCATTTGTTACCTCACTGGACTCTATGGGCACCCATCTTAGATGATGGAAGTAGCCATATCAACGTGGGACACATGGCCTAAATTGCCTTGGTTTAGGCCAGGGCTGCCATAGGTGATGAAAATTACCCTCTTGGACTCAAGGACATTTGATTCCTAGTAACATGGATTATGAGATGGCCAAGCCCACCCCAGCTCACAAAGTTCCCTTTTTGTTCTTCCACACCAACTCTTCTACCCTCCCCTATTACATACATCTTCAAATGTTCAAAAAGTTACAAACTTTATATGAATATAACATACAAAGATGCAGCCTTGAGGAGCAGGTGAAGTGAGGGCAGGGACAAGGGGAAAAAATGAGAACCAAGACCTGTCATGTAGAGGTACAAGATCCCAGTAATGAATGTAACTGTACTGTATACCTAGAATGTACCAATAAACTCAATAAAAAGGAAAAAAAAAAAAAAAAAGATGCAGCCTCCTTCCTAAGGCAAGGGAAGGGAGGGGTGGTTAAGTAAGGCACAGGAAGCTGCAGCAAGCACCAGCTGCGGGGCGGGGCCCTAGGGAGAAAGCAAGTTGGCACTAGGGCCCAGTCTTTACAGCTGTTAGTGGGGAAGTAGGAATCCCCTCAAAGTGCTATGGTCTGAGGCTGAACTCTTGACCAGGCTGATGCACAGGAAAGGCAGGAATTTTTGCCATCTTTGGTGCTACTTGCCCTTCCCCCACTAACCCTGTGGTAAAATTGAAGTCCTGGGTTCCAAAGGTCCCTCTCCAATGCAGAGACCCTGGAAGGCGGTGGGGGTGGGCAGGGAAATTTGAAAGCCGATATACCTTTGTGCAGAGGGACCGCTGGGAGGCAGCAGGAAAGGGCTCTCATACATACCCTTCTGTGGGGCCACAGGTGAAGGAGGCCAGGGGAGAGGGCAGGGTGGGGCATCATGGCCCACAGCCTCTGAGGAACCCCTTTCTGTCCCCTGCAGTGTACATGGAGGAAAGGGGCTGCCTCTGAGGAGGGGCCAGGCCAGAGCAAGTGACCATCTTGAATTCTGGTTGAGGGGATGGTCTCTTCAACCTGAGGCGTCCTCTAACTGGTGATGGCAGAGGGCCCAGCACCTCCTCGCTTCTCGAAGAACATGTAGTCCTGAAGGAAGGGTACTGTCAACAGTCTGACTGGGCCCGCCTAGGTCTTGACCCACCAACCCCGTAATATCTGTCCCTAATCTTTTCCTAGCAAGAGGCTAGGAGATGCACAAAACATCAAGTGACAACCAAGGAGTGGCAGGAAGGGAGGAACAGGGGCCAACTCACAATGAGGAATGTGGCCCCTAGCAGCACAGCCTTCACCCTCATGTCCAGATCCAGAGGAAATTGTAGGCCAAAGTCATCAGCGTCCGTGAGGGCTTCTCGCAGCAGCCCCCCCCACTGCTTGCTGATACGGCCTACACTGCGGGATTCATCCCTGGTCTTCACCTGTTGGGAGGAAAGAAGACGCCAACTGGGGAGGATGCAACCCATTTCACCTGCTTCCAGTCCCACTCCCATAGTCACCATGTATGAACTGTACAAGTTCTATACCCAATGAATCCTCACAGCCTTGAGTTTCCATGTGACAGCTGGAGAAACTGAGGCACCCTACATTAGAAGTATTTTGCAAGTATATAGCAAAAATCAGGGCTCAAATTCATATCTGTTCTCCAAAGGCCATTTATGACATAACTGGATAGTAGTAGGAGAAACAGAAACATGATATAGTCAAATCCCCTTTGTGTATGGCTGGTTATTGCTTTGATTAGTAATGTCCCTGGTACCCATGGTTGGTAGAGTCTGTACCTTGCACAGAGAAGCCTGGCTGAGAGAGCAAAGGAAGCTGACAAAATCCTGGCTACACTTCACCAGCCAGGCAAGCTCTTAGATGGCTATGTCTGCCAAAAGGATGACTTTTCTCTAGTCTGTAAAGTAGGGGCAGGCATGCCCTGTCCAGCGCTGCACATGAGTCTCATCTAGAGTGGGTCCAAATCTATTGATTGCAGGAAGGTGCCTCTGAGGACCATGATTTTCACTAACCTCTCTGAGCTCAGCAACAACAGGCTCTGCTGATGTGGGTGGTAACTCATAGTGACTTCCTGGTCCTTTTTTAATGCCCAGTATCTGGTGACTAGGACCAGAGCAATTTCCTTTAATATCCTGTCCATCCCCTTCCTCCACTGTCCTACAGCTTGGAGGCACCTCCTGCAGCCCTGTCCCAGGTTGAGCAGGGCCTGTTCTAGCCAGCCCTACAGTCCTGAGAGTACAGCCTCCATATGGACCATTCATAATTGTGTAAAAGGGACACTGGCCCACTGAGAATCCATAATCTATACATTTCTATATAGAGATTACATAGTTATCTCCTTCCCAACTCGTTTCCATCATAGAATTTCCCTCTGACTAGCCAGGTGACTCACTTTTTAAAAGTAATCTTAGGTAAAGTACTTTATCAGAAGTGCTGGCAGGCCTACTGTTGCTTCTCTCTTATCTGTACAAGGAATTATCCCTTAAAGAACCCTAACATCTGTAAACTGTCTCTGTCTTTAGAAACCAAAGTATTTCTCGGGCCTCAACCTGAAACTCTTATCACTTGTGTTCTTAAGGATCGATTGGTGATAGAGAAGAAGAATATCATTTGGACTTCAGGTTGGATGGGTCAGATATTTCCCTCTAACCCAGGGCTGTAGGTAATGATCAACATTGTTTTTGAAGATGAAATCCTTTTTGCTATGCTTTTGTAAGACCAGGAGACCACCCCATTTCTGAAGAGAAAATTGTAAGTGTGGTAGAAGTCAAATGGATTTGGATTGATGACCTCAGTGTCTTGACCTTAGTCAAGCCATCCTGCCTCATGGAAGCCGCCATCTTGGTTTATGAAGATTCCAAGAATCTCCCGTTTATGCCCGATACCTCAAAGTTGGTGTCTGTGCCACAGCCACAAGTCCAGCAAGGTCCCACCACTCGCAGGACTGTCTGCCGATCAGCATCTTGGATGGAGAACTTAGGGAGGAAGGGATGCCAGGTCTGTAGAATATGGCCAATGGTGGTGCCTGGTGGAGCCTGTACTTCCATCTAGAGTGGGAGGCACACAGGTCGCTGCTGAGCCCATGCACTCTGACCAAGTTCTCACTGATCCTGGCACTATCTGCATTCATTACCTTCTATCTACCCATCCCCTCACTAAACCTGCCATTCCCTATCTGCCCACTGCCACTAAAGCCACACCTCATTCCAGGCCCTGCCCCATCAAGGCCCACCTCCTCGGTCCTGTGAGGCAGCCTCTTTGTACCCCAAGGCTCCCAGCCCACCTCCTGGAGACCGCAGGGACAGCAGAGGCAGCCACAGTGCAGTGGACGGATCAGGCGTAGCACTTCACGGTCCCCGGGGTCCGCCAGGCGGACACGAAGTGGCCGGCGGGCACCACAGCACAGGCGGGCACAGCAGTTGCTCTCCTCAGCCGCCTGGCCAAGGGGCTGCCCGGCCCCTGAGCGCAGTTCATACCGGTTACAGGTCTCCCAACCTAGGAACGCTGTCGGGAGTGACATACTGAGGCCTAGGTGCCTTGCCCACCCAGAAGCCCACCATCTCTGCCAGGGTAATGAGGCCCCGAAGATTCTGAATTTAACTTACTTTCCACTCGCTCAGCCTTCTGATGAATCAAGATCTGATCAATCTGAGAAGAGCAGAGGGAGAGCTGACATCAACTGGCCCACCTGAGCTCCCAAGTACCCTCCCGACACCCTCCCTGCCACTTACCTGTGCCAGGAATTCGAGGCCAGAAGGCACCCCTGGCAGTGGCAAGAAGGGGGCAGGAGGCCCGGGGGCCACCGGGGCCGGTGAAGGGAAGAGAGAGAAACCAGGTGCAGGGGGAGGCACCTGGGCGGGCACCTGGGCGGGCGGGGGCCCAGGATGCAGCGCGGGCTCCGGGTACCCCGTGGTCACAGGGTAGGGAGGTGGGGGCGAAGGAGCGTAGCCTTTAGGGGGTAAGTAACCTGTCGGGGGCAGGGGCAAATTAGAAAGGTACCTGTGGCCTCATCCCCTTATTTCTCCCACAGACCCCGCGGAACACGTGGGAAGGGTGGAGAAGGATGGGGCAGGGGAGCAGGGCGGCGGCTCCCAGGAGGAAAGGAAGGGAGGGCCCCAAGCAGCCAGCCAGTCTGAGCACATTCCTAGAGGATGTGTTTCACACCCAGCACCCAAGGCCGTGGGGGGGATAACGGAGACCCCCCCCCCCGCGTAGGCCCCGCTTACCTGCCATGAGAGGGACAGAGGCCGGGTTGGGTGGATGTCGGTGCTCAGGCGACTTAGTTGTGGAAGTGGAGGCAAGCTCGGGGACAGCCAGACAGACAGAGACAGACAAAGACGGACAGGCAAACGAGGAGAGCCAGCTGCGCCCGGCGCCAGCCCAGGGTCTCTTGGGCGGCGCCTAAGGCTCGGGGAGAAACCGAAAGTGTCAGCGGGCAGGGCCGGGTACCTGGGACCCTGGATTTCCTCCGGGGCCACAGAACCGCCCCCTCCCTTTGTTCTCCCATTCTCCTCGGAGGCAGCTGTCGGCGGACAGCAGGACAGATGGACCCGCGGTCAGCCCGACTGCATGACTTCGAAGGAGGTCCTCCTGACCCCAGTACGCCCCGGCTCACCTGAAGCCCCCAGAATAACTCGGGGACCACGCACTCCGAGACTCCCTGGAGCTCGTGGAGGCGGGGCCGGGGCCGGACCCCGCCCCTATGCGCAGAGACAAGAACGCCTCTCTGGGAACCGCGGACCAGGGACTTAGCGCCCCTGGGTGTTGCTGCCGTCCCCGCCCCTTCCGCTCCGGCTGCAGAAGCCGAAAGCTCCTGGGCGACGCATCCTGCCAAACCCCAGATCTACGGCCCCTGCTGGGCGCCCCTAGGTGGAAGCCCAGGCCGCTACGCTGAGCTCCTGCGAACCAACTGCACCAGACCCTGGGCTCCTCCTCCCAAGGGCGTTTTGGGCCTTGCTGACGCAGCGGAACACGCTTCACACTGGTTGGCTTCCTGGACTGACTCCTGGCTTTTCCTACCTCTCTAGGGCGACCTCACAGTCTTCTAAACTCTTCCTGACGCATCGGTGACCTACGCAGGCACCTCAAAATTACTGTGTTTCTTTCAAGTGCCCCCAGCCACGTGGGTGACAGGCCACATACGGTGTCAATAATGCTCATGAAATGAGTCTCAGGAGGCCCCAGGAGGAAGCTTGGTCAGCAAAAACTTCTGGAGAGGAGTTGGTTGGCCTGCCTCCTGGGTCTTCGTCCTGAGCCCAGGGAGGTCCATAGTGGTTTGAGCAACTGAGGTGCTCAGGTTGGGTCGGTAGACCTAGTCTGCTGGAAAAGATAGCTGTGGTCCCGGAGGTGCAGAGTTAACCGGTTCAAAGATACATAGACATTAGTACAGAACTTGGAAGGGGTGAGATGTGAAGACAAGGAGTCCAGAATGACCTCAGATGTCTTTCTAGTAGCCAGTCAGATGCAAGTATCACCCATCAAGATAGTATGGGAAGCTGGACAGGATGATGCATGCCTGTAATCCCAGCAGTCTAGGCTGAGGCAGGAGGATCAAAGTTCAAGCCCAGCCAGGACAACTTGACTTCACAAGACTGTCACACACACACAAAAAAAAAAAATCGAGAAAAGTAGGTTTGAGGACCTCCTGCCCCCATGTCCATGTTCCTGGGACTGCTTAGTCCCTTCCACAGCTTTAGTCATCATCTGCACCAGATCCAAATGCTGGCCTTTCCCCATGCCTCAGACTCTACATGGCTCAAACCTTGAGCCAGCTTCCACTAAAACAGAAACATTCAGAAATCCAACAAAGGTTTAGTGAGTACCTACTGCATGCCAGACAGCATTTGAGGTGATAGGAATATATAATAGGGGGTGAGATGAGATGGAAGTCTTGTTTTGTAGTTCAGGCTAGCTCTGAACTCCCTGTGTAGCCTAGGCTGGCCTCAAACTCCTGACAATCCTTCTGCCTCAGCCTCCTGAATGCTGGGATTACAGTCCAGCCCACCCCACCTGGCTCTATATAACCATTTTTAAAAAGAAACAAATTCCTGACCTCCTTGGCAAATGTGCTAGTGAAGACACATATAATAGGTAAAATAGATGAGACGTCAGAGGGTGGTAAGTGTAATGATGACAGAACAGGACAAGGAAATCAGAGAATGGTGGGAAGGTACAATTTTATCATTTTTTTTTTCTCCCTTCAGTGCTGGGAATAGCACCCAAGGCCTTCCACGTGCTAGGCAAACATTCTACCACTGACCTATATGTCCAGCTTGGGTTTGTGGTTTTTTTGTTTTTTAGATGCAGTCTTTTTTGTTTGTTTGGTTTTGGTTTTTTGAGACAGGGTCTCGCTATGTAGTTGAGATTGACCTGGAACTCACTATGTAGCCCAGGCTGGTCTCTTAACTCACAGCGATCCTCCTACCTCAGCCTCCCGAGTGCTGGGATTACAGGCATGCGCCACCACACCTGGCTTTTTAGATGCAGTCTTACTGTGTTGCCCACAGTTGCCTTGAACTCCTGGGCTTACGAGATCCTCCTGCCTCAGCCTCCCTAGCAGATGGGATTACAGATGTATGCCACCATGCCAGGCTGTATTTGCAGTTTTAAAGAGAACCAGCTAATAGAGTCTCACTGAAAAGTTGAGCAAAAACAAAGGAGACAAGAGACTGAACAATGAAGAATATTGCGTTCAGTAGTTGAACATCATTTTAGGCAGAGGTAACACAGGAACAACAAGGTCAAAGGTCTTTTTGACAAAAGTGTGTTCAATGAGTAAAAAGGAGACCAGTGAGGCTGAACTAAGTTAATGAAGGGAGGGTAGAGAGGACAAAGGAGGCTGGATCATATACAGCCTTTGAAGACCATCAGACTATACTCTGAGATGAGAAGTGGTAGAATGTTTAGACAGAGAAGAAATAGGAGACTTGGGCACCAAAATAGTAGTTCTCAATCCTGGACAAATGTAGAATCATCTGAGATATTTTAAGAACTGCCTCTGTCTGTGTACCACTTCATATCAATTAAGTTTTTCTTTGGGGTAAATTGTTCAGACAAAGGAACTTTTTGAGAATTCTCTAGATTTCAATATGCAGCCCAGGCTGAAGATTACTGTGTTAGAAGGATCTCTCTTTCAGGCTGCTTTGTCAAGAGTAGTGTTATGCTTTATATCTAAATGTCCCCCAAAGCCTCACATGCTCATATGTGGGACTTTTGGAAGGTAATTGGATCATGGGTCATGATAATCATGCAGAATGCAAGAGTTGTGGGGTCAGGGAGGCGTCTACCCAGATTTCATAAGAAGGCCTGGGAATCCAGGCAGTATGCCCCTGAAAATTTAGGCAGTGTGTAAAGCTGTGAGTGTGAAGGCAAAGGTGCAGTGGAGACCCCAGAAGTCTAGAGAAGCCAGGAATATGGATCCTCTGAGGAAAGAATGAGCAAAGCTAGCTCAAGAGAGAGGCCACGAAGGCTGCAACCACTGCCAGTGCTGTAAGGGCAGGACCACCCAGGCTCTTTGGAGTTCACGTTACCTCTATTGCTGGACATGGATACAGGATTTAATGTTTGCTCTGCTGGATGTTGGCCTTGCTTTGGTCCCATTACCTTTTTCCTTCCTATTTTTCCCTTTTGGAATGGGAATGTTTAGCCCGTGCCTTTGTATGTCAATAGTACTTACAACTTTCTTTTCATTTGTACAGGGGCTCACAGCTAAGAGTTTGCCTTAAATCTCAAGAGGAATCCCTGGATTTGGACTTTTCAGCAATGCCGAAACTGTTAAGACTTTGGCAACTCTCAGAGATAGACTAAAAAATGCATTTTGCATAAAAGGATGTGCATGAGTCTTTTGGGATCCAAGGACAGAATGCTGTATATTTTGGGGGGTATTGCTACATAGTTCAGACTAGCCTTTAACTCACTATATAGCCTAGGCTGGCCTTGAACTCACAGCTATCCTCCTGCCTCAGCCTCCTGAGTTCTGGGATTATAGGCACGGGTCACCATGCCCCACCCCCAAGCCTCGTGCATTCATAGGTGGGGCTATTGCGAAGTAATTGGATCATGGGGGTGTGATAATCACCAGTGCATTAGTCCACTGATAAATTTATAGCCGTGTGGTGTTGGGAAGTGAAGCCTGGTTGGAGAAAGCCGGTCAGTGGGGCGTGGCCTGGAAAGGTCTGTCTGTCTCCCTCCTCCCTTGATCGGCTGTCTGCTTCCTTCCTGTCATGCCGTGAGCAGGCCTCCTCTGTGCCCCTCTGCCACGCTGCCCTGCCTTGGAGCCAGAGGACTGTGGACTGAAACCTCTATAAACTGTGAGCCAAAATAAACCTTTTCCTCTTCAATTGTGGATGCTGAATATTGTGTCTCTGAAACAAGAAAGTAAGACAAGTAGGCTGTAAATAGGCAAAAGAGAAGATTCCTTTTTTCCTCCAGCACTAGGGGTCAAACTCAGGACCTTAAGCTTGCTGACAGGCAAGGCACCACTAAGCTAAATCCCCAGCCCTTGTTTTTGATTTTTGAGATAGGGTCTCTCTATGTAGCTCTGAGTGCTGGGATTACAGGTGTGCACCACCCTGGCAAGGGAGGAAGTCCTTAACACAGTCTAGGTAGTGTGATGATGGCTTGGATTAGAGAGACCAGGGTGACAGCAGTGTTGGTGGTGATAAATGTTCAGTTTCCAGATGTGCACTTGAACCAACATGACTACATGACGATGATAGCTCGGACGCAGAATGTGAAAAAAAGAGAATTCAAAGTAACTCACCCTTGGTTCAGGAGCTCCCCCCACCCCTTTTTAAACTCCTGAACAATTTTTTTGCGAAAAAAATTTTGTACCAGGAATCAAACTCAAGACCTTGCACTTGTCAAGCAGATGCATTGCAGCTAAGGTAAACCCCTGTCCTTTTTAAATAGCAAAATATTTGAGACCTTTCTGCCCAGTGCAAGCCGCACCTTACTGCATTTGGTAATTTCCTGCCTGCCCACTCATTCCCGGGCCCAGGTTATCCTGTTTCCTCTCAACTTGTTACAAATAGGATCTTCCTTTTTTTCTGTTGAATTCCTAGTCATGCCAAAACCTAGCAAATTGACTGAAGTCTTGCCAGTCCCCAAAAGCAAAACAAGTCTACTTCTACTTGTAAGTCTGAACATACTGCATCAAATGACCTTGTTTTGTTTCTTGAGAAAAACAGTTCAGGCTGTCCTCGAACTCAGGGTGATCCTCCTGCCTCAGCCTCCCAAATGCTGGGATTATAGGCACGTGCCACCACACCCAGCATCAAATGACTTTTTTTTTTTTTTTCTGGAGCTGGTACTAACACTGAGGTACTGAGGTCTCCATATGTAGCCCAGGCTGGCATCAAACTCTCAGTCCTCCTGCCTCAGCCTCACAAATCCTGGGATTACAGATGTGCACTACTACCATGCTTGACTAGCAAATGATTTGAGATATGGTCTCACTAAACATCTAGTTTGCCAGGGCTAGGCTTGAACTTGTGATCTTCATGTTTCAGCCTCCCAGATTGTTAAGATTACAGGTGTACACCACCACGCCCAGCTTCAACTGATTTTTAAAGGGTCTGTTTTCACTGCTGAAATTTGAACTTCTTGGTTCACAGAAAAAAAAAAATTAGTGTTGTGAATTAGAGAATTTTATTCACAGCTTACCCAGGTCATAGCTGCATAACATAGAATCTCTCTTAGCTTTCCTTTTCACAAACTTGCAGAGATGTTCAGAAAATCTGACACAATGTTCAAGAATTATCGTAACTCATTCATATTAATACAGTCTTGGAAGCCACTTTTGTGTGTGTGTGGTGCTAGGGATCAAAGCCAGGGCCTTGCACATACTAGGCAAGCACTCTATCACTGAGTTACATCCCCAGCCACTGACTTCCCATGTATTTTTCTGTCCCTGTTGTGTCACCCTTGGCCTGTGCATTCTGAGGACCTTTCCCCACTCAGTTACATGTTCTAGGTAAAGTCTAGACCCTGAGCCACTTGACTCCCTCACTTTTGCTTTATTTTTTGTTTTGTTGAGACAGAGTCTCACTATGTATCCCAGGCTGAGTTTGAACTCCCCATATAGTCCAGGCTCACTGAGTACAGGCATTACAGGTGTGCACGACCATGCCCAGCTCTCTTCTACTTTAAACTTGGTGAACCCAGGGCCAGGGATGTAGCTCAGTGACACCACACCTGCCTGGCAGTTGCAAGGACTTGAGTTCGACCCCTAGAACTAAAAAACTTAAAAGTTGGTGAACCCAAAATGTAACTCTTGAGTTACCTGCCTTAGACTTGTGCTTCCTTCAAATTAATCAATCCCACCCTGTTATGTGGAACCCAAGCAAACAGCTAACACTCTGTACCCCAATAAAGGCTTGAGTTCACTTCCTTCCGTCCTTTGTTCCCATCTGTGGGCTGAGCATGTGTCCAGATGGCTTCCCCCTTCCCTCGGTCAGTATGCTGACCTCTTCCCTCTGGGATATGCAGTCTCATAAGTGTCCCCTGCTGTGCCACAACTGACTATAGTAAGTCCCCCACTGACAAACATTTGAGTTGTGAACTTTCACAGATACGAAAGGATCTGGCATTCTAAACACTTGTAGATGCAAACAAATCACAGAAGTAGCACCTGTGTCTGCCAGACATTGTCAGTTTGCTTAGTGTACAGTAGTAGTCAGGGACTTACTGTATTTGTGTGCTTTGGAAACAGGGTCTTGCTACGCATTTCAAACTAGCCCTGAACTCTCTATGTAGCCCAGGCTGGCCTCAAACTCATGGTGATCCTCCCGCCTCCTGGGACGACAGGTGTGCACCATCACACCTGGCTGGTTTTTTTTATTTGTTTTTTTGAGACAGGGTCTCATGTAGTTGAGACTGATCTGGAACTCACTATGTAGCCCAGGCTGGTCTTGAGCTCACAGCAATCCTCCTGTCTCAGCCTCCCGAGTGCTGGGATGACAGGTGTGCGCCACCACGCCTGGTGGCTGTGTTTGGTTTTTTTAATGCTTTACACTACATGTTTGTGGCACAGGTATATAAGACTCACTTTGTCATAGACTTCTAAACATATCTGGATTAACAAACTTTCTCCCAGAATGGAACTCATTTGTAAGTCGGGACTTACTATATACCAAACCTAACTTAAAATATGTCACTTCTAAATCACAATAGTAAAAATAGAGACCGAGTATCAAGCAGGCTTTATTTTAGTTTCCCAAGAGCGAGCCTACTGGTAACACCAAAGCTAAGGTATTGAGGACCTCAATATGTGCAGTATGGTCACTCTGATGCCTACGTGTCTTCCAGGATGTTTGTCATATGACCTAGACGACACCTAAAATGGATAGAAATGCCAAACCAGACATGGTAGTGTACACCTGTCATCCCAGCACTCGGGAGGCTGAGACAGGAGGATCACTGTGAGTTCAAGGCTACCCTGGTGGCACACACCTGTAATCCCGGGGAGGCCGAGGCAGGAGGATCACTACAAGACTACATAGTGAGTTCAAGGCCAGCCTGAACTATACAGCAAGACCTTGTCTCAAAATCAAAACTAAAACATAATTTGCTGGGCATACCAGCACAAACCTGTTATCCCAGCACTCAGGAGGTTGAGGCAGCAGGATTGCTGCGAGTTCAAGGCCAGCCTGAACCAAATAACAAGACTCTGTCTCAAAAAAAAAAAAAAGTAAGTTTATACAGATAACAAAATCGATAGACTTGAGAATAATTTTAGAGCCAGGCGTGGTGGTGCACGCCTGTAATCCCAGCACTTGGAGGCTGAGGCAGGATTGGAGGATCACTGTGAGTTCGAGACTAGCCTGGACTACATAGTGAGTTCCAGGTCAGTCTCAACTACATAGTGAGATACTGTCTCAAAAAAAAAAAAAAAAAGAGAAGGCAGATTGTAAAGATATGAAACTGGATATTACCCAAAAATTGTCATTTTGAGAGTTTACATACTTTTTAGTTAAAATGTTTGTGAAATATAATGAATATATTCATCGTGGGGAGTTTTACTTTCTCTTCCTATCCTCTCCTTTCTCCCTCAATCCCTAGATCCTCTTCCCACATGCAAAATGTCTACCTCCCTGTTTCCTATCTTCTTTTGTTATTTTGCTCTTTCAATTATACTTTGCACTTCTCATATAAGAGAAACCATGCAATATTAACTTCTGTGTCTATTTTGCTTAGTGTAATGGTCTCAAGGTGCATCCATTTCCTCCAAATGACTCAAATGTATCCTTCTTTATGGCAGAGTAGTACTCCACTACACATATATGCCATTTTCTTTATCCATTCATCTGTTGATATACTTCCAAACTCTCTGATGCATATATTCTGAAAATTGTGTCAATATATTATACATATTATACTTTGCAAAACATAGATAGAAATGTAAAGTTAAAAGGAAGATTTAAATCCTTCAGTGACTTACTATTGCACCACAAATAAAAGTCCAAGAAACTTACTGCCTTCTGCAAGCCTTGCACTAGCCATCAGGACTCCTTGGTCACTACATGGCAGCTATTCTGGATTTGTCCTTCCTCTAACTCATCAAATTTTGTCTCACTTTACTTTGTCTCACTTTTGAACGGCTCTTTTCAGTCTGTCTTGCCTGTTATTCCTTCTGCCTAGAATATACTTTTTCTGTTGTTCTCATAGTTACTTCAGCTTCAGGAGGACTTTCTTCCCATCTAAAGAGGAGGGGTCATCCCTCATTTCCAGGCTGTTCCACTATTCTTTTTCCCTCAAACAGGTAATACAACTTGCAATGACATATTTGTGTGTTTAGCTGCTTAAGATATGTTTCTACTGCTAGATGGGAAACTTCATGAGGGAAACAACAGTATCTGTCTTGCTATTTTTCAGGCAGGGGTATTGAGACAGGGTCTTGTTGTGTAGTTCAGGCTGGTTTTGAACACACTATGTATTCCAGGCTGGCCTTGAACTTGTAGCGATCCTCTTGCCTCAGCTTCCCAATTGACAGGATTACAGATGTATGCCACCATCATTTGTCTTGCTTATGATTGAACATCCTTGTAATGTGTCTGAAACACAGGATCAATGATGGCTTACTAAATGTTGCCCCTAAACATCTTCCAGTTCTCTCTGTGCCATACTAGTCCAGCCTTCCTTGCCACTTTTTGTCACTCCTCTTCTGCTTAACACAGAGTCATCCCACAATGAGGATGAATGTTATTTCCCAAAGTAGTCCCCTCCCCAACTCAGTCCCTTTGTTCATTGTGTGTCCTCCACACAACAAGCTCCTTTAAGGCTTGTCTCAACCACTGAGTCATTTTCTGATCTCCAATATATTATGTTCTGTTTCTGCTTTGAACCTCAAAGTATCTTGTAACTTTTCCTAGCTGGCCTTGCTTTAGTCTTCACTTCTAAAGTGAGTGTACAAGGGCTGGGTATTTGGCTCAGTGGTTCCGCAGCCTGCCTTGCAAGTACAAGGGCCCGAGTTCAATCCCCAGTACCACAAAAACAAAAACAGAACATTAAAGTGAGTGTACAACAAATTTACTGAATGACAGAGTTGAAAACTTCTACCCCCATAGTAATTTTCAAATTCTAGTGAACATCATAACTACATGGCAAGCTTAATAAAATGCAGATTCCAAGGCACCAAAGAGAGCTTCAGTTAAGAATCTACATTATTTCAAGCATTCTTGTGGCATTTTTGTTTTTGTTTTGAGACAGGGTCTTGCTCTGTAGTGCAGGCTAGCCTTGAACTTTCTGGCCTCAGCTTCCTGAGTGATGGGATGACAGGTGTGTACCATCATGCCCAGCTTTCGTTTTTTGACAAGGGGTTTTACTATGTAGTTCAGAATGGCCTTGAACTCACAATGTATCCCAGGCTGGCCAGAGACTCATGATCATACTCCTGCCTCAGCCTCATGAATATTAGGATTACAGATGTGTGCCACTATGCTCAGCTATTTTAAGCATTCTTTACGACTCTAATGCCCACCAGTTTAAGAACATCATAGCAAGTTACGTTGAAGACAACAGAATTCCCAGAACCAAGGTTCATTGATAAGTCTTAGAAAAGGGAAGGAGTTCAAAGGTTGAATCCTTACCTTTTCCTTTCCAAGAGTTTGGTTTGATGAACAAAGGCTCCAAACTGATTTGCTTTTCATTTTTAATTCCCTTTCTGTTCAAACTTCCCACAGAATTATCCAGAAAAGCCCAGTAACTAAAAAAGACACTTCAAAGAGCCAAAGTAAACCAGCCCAAGAGAAGCAAGCTCCCTCCTGCCGGGCCCAACATCTGGATGCTAGTGTCTCCACTCAGAGCCTGGTAGTAAAAGCTGGTGCAGAATAAGGCGGTTCCAGAAGCTAGCAGCAACCCGGCCTGCAAGAGACACAGGCAGAGTACAGTCTTGTAAGAACAGGGAAAGATAGCGGGGAGTGGATGGGCTTGCTCAGGATTAGGCAGGAGAACCAATTACCCAGAGGGGCTTTCTGCAATGGGGTACCCCTAACAGGGCCAGACTGTGAAAGAAGTGGTGTTTGTTGGCCTTGTCAAAGAGCTGTAAGAAAACAGACACGGGGGTCTTCCTAAGCAAAACAGGCAACTAGATTCGGTGGTGATACACGGGACCAGAGTTTGCCACCCCATCCCCATCCTTAAACCCATCTTGCCGCTCCCTCGGGCTCCCACGCCACAGGCTTGCAGTATTTGCTGCTGCAAAGACCCGCACTTTCCTCTAGCCCCCACTTTCCTCTTGGACCCCAGACTCTTTGCCTTCGTAGACCAGCGAGTCAGGTAGCCCCAGCGCAGTTACTTCACCTCCTTCCCATAGGCGTCCGGGAACTGAGCGCCTGTAGAGAGGAGAGGAAAAGGTTATCGACAATAGCGCCAGCCCCGACTGTCCCCAAACCCGGGGGGTAGCCAAGTAGACTTTGTGAGAAAGGGCGCCCTAAGGAAGCTTCCTATTGGTAATGGAAACAAACAGTCCCAGGAAACCAATTGGACCGGGTGTAGGGCGTTAAAAGATTTAAGGCTCAGTCGACAGTCGGGGGCTGGGTGTGGGGGTCACTTCCCATAGGCTCTGCCCCTGCATCAGACCCTCAGAGGCCGTCCCTTAAATGTCCCAGTTGCGTCCCCAGGTTCCTGACCGTGCGCCCCGTAGGTGGCCAAACCCAAGGCCCCAGCTCCTGACAAGGCACCAAGGCGACGGAAAGCAGCTCCTGGGCGCGCCATGGTGGTAGATGGTCACGTGCGGTACAAACACCGCCCAGGCCACCTAAGAGGCCAACCAATCCTATTCGCTCAAGCAAATAAAGTCCATAGGTACCCAATCAGAGCTGTGTTCATTTCCAGCACCGAGGTCCCCCAGGCGGATATTTGCGCCTTTGTAAAACCACTGCTGAGTGGCGAAGACGTCTGGCGGGCGGAGAAACTAGAACCAATTAGCCGCAAAAGAACAGAGCAGTGAGGGGCGGAGTTGGAGGCGGGACTAGAGGATTTGCGTCACGGATTGGCCCACTTTCCAAGTTGATCGCCTCTTCGAACCCTCTTCGTCCGCACTTCTGGCTAATTTCCAAAGATCCCTATCTGCACTCAAAGTTCCTCCCCTTTCCCTACGGGCTCTCCCGTTCTCCTTCAAATCAGACCCACTTCCAAAAAGAAGCGGTCCCACAGATTCCAGACCCCACCCATCGCTGTTAAGCCCCGCCCAGTTGGCCACTGGCCTCCTCCTCCCAGTCTTTAGGCTCCGCCTTCTTCATGTGATGCCTGGGCCTCTCTAGTTCGGCTCCACTCCCCCTCCCTTCCTAGACCCCGAGAACCCGGAGGGTGGGAGATCCGGGGGGACGTCTCCACCCTGCCCTGGCTGGCTGGCTACGTCCATCCGTCCGTCTGTCCACTCCCACCCCCTTCCACGGTCTCCAATCCCCCCACACTCTGAAGGGCGGGCGGACAGGCGGGTGCGAGCGAGGGGTGTGCGCCGCTCTCTCGGCAGGGGGCGGGGGAGGCGGCCGCGCG